TTAAATTGTTTTGAATTTTCTACATATCATTGTTTCAAACGGATCAATAAAAAAAAAGGGAAGATAAAAAATCGATTAAAACTCTGTAAAATCCTCTAAATTGTGCTTCAAACCGTGTCAAAATTTTATTCCAAGCAAATTTTCATATTGAAACAATTTTCTATAGGGGTGCTAAAATCGAGGATTTGTGTTGCATTGTTCATTGAAGTCGATTTCTTACAAAATGTAGAATTTTTTGGTAATTTCTACGCAAAAATTAAGAAACAATATTGTTGGGTTTAAAATGTGTTTTTTCGTCCGTGGACAGCATTCTACAGGTACGGCAAAAATGCGTACCGTCTACGGCGCCCGTTACAATGCCGTTTATGGTGGTTCGTATATGGTCATCCTATACACTATCGTAGTTCACCGTATCAAGATCATATACGATCATTCGTAAATGATCAGCCGTTATGACCATCGTAGTCTGCCATATTTTTCTTGTTTACGACCGTTTTCGGATCGTTTCATCCGACCTGGGATATGTGCACAGCGAAAACTTCAGGTCAAACGGTTTCATTTTTTGTGATATATGAATTTCAGAGAAATATACTATTAGGTGATAATGCCCTCAGAAACGTTGTAAGATCTCAAGAACGGAACAATATTTTTTAAAATAGGCTGTGTCAAAAATTCAAAAATTCTTCCCTCTATACTATATCGTAAATTGAGCAAAGTCCACCGATCTTGAGCAGGTTTTGCGATAAAGTGTAGAAACTGGCTCTTTATACATATTGGTGAATGCACTACTTTATGAAACTGACCGAATATTTTGGCCAGATTAAAAACGCTGGGAATTCTGCGATATCACAGTTGTAGAGCAAGTGAAGTTCTATCGAATTCACGATGCCACTGTATCGAGCAATTCAGCTTCTTTGAATAATTGTGAACGGAAGAAATCACTAAATCGCACTTTTTTGTGTGATCGACGATTATTCATGGTACACTACACACTAAGATTTTTCTAATGGCAGACACGTTTAGTATGGTTAGATGCGCCTCTTCACGACCAATCTAAATGTGGTCTTGGCTTTTATTTGTGACCATACTTTAGGGAATTTTTTTAAAAAAATCGATGTTTTCGGAACTTGATTTCTTACTGCTAAAATTATTTTTGCCGTATCTCAGTTTGATCCGTGACAGCTCGAGAGTGGAGAATAGGAACTGCTATCAGTCATCATTTCTTTGGAAAAGAACTGGATGTTTAAATCAACTTTTTCTAAAAAAACTAGATATGTTAATCAGTTGTTTTTCACCACTAGAATAAAATGTGTAGAATTGCTAAATCATTATAACCCAAGCTGATAAATATTTTGAAAAACGCGTTTAAACGTTCAATCAGGAATCCCGATTATGAGTCATCAACGCTCATTAAACAACACAAGAAACGCGTCCTTTTCGCAGAATTTTCACTGTCAGAGCATTGAAACGGCGAAAAACCCCAATTCTAAGCATTTAGACACACAATTATTCTAAAATTATAAAAGCAATGCGTTTAGTCGCTCAGAATTCGAGTTTTTCAGCGTTGTAACGCTCTAAAAGTAAAACTTCTTCTGAAAATACACGTTTCTTGCTCTTTTTTAATGAGCGTTAATGACTCATAATCACGGTTCCCGATTGGGTGTTTAAACACGCTTTTTCCAATTGTTTGTCTGCTTGAAAATGGAAAGAATGAGTGTGTCTCAAAAGAACTGTTAACTGAGATCAGTTCTTCCAAAAGAATCTGTTACACTGAAAAAAAGTAAGCACATTACGCACCTAAAAAGGTTTCGTGGTAGCTAAAAATTCGAAATCCTTTTTTCGGTGTAGCGCAATCCCTGCGTGATTAAAATGTGAAACACGATATACCCAGTAAAACGAAACTCATGGAGATTGTTTATGCAGTTGATTTTTTGTTGGTTTTCTGAGATAGACCTATATGGATTAGTCGAATAAAAACTTATATACTATAGAGATGTTTTGGGGAATTTGAAACAATTGTTTATAAATTCTACAGAGTAAAGTAGCTGCATAAAAAAATGAGTATTATAGTTGACCAAAAGCTTAATATAAACATTTTGATTTATCTTATTGTTATAAACAGTGTATGCTTTTTTAGACAAGTTATCAAACGTAGAGAAAGAAAATGAGCTGCATATTTTTTTGAATTTTATTCTTTGTGAGTGCGCAAATACCTGTCTGTAATGGTCTGTTGCAGGGTAGCGGGGGAGGGAGGCTTCCAAAATTTCTGCTCAAAGCACTTCAACACTCCTTTTAGATCGTGTTTCACAAAACTGATGGGATGAACCAAGTTCTCGAAAAAAAACTAGTTCTTAGAACTGAGCTGTCACAGGCCTAATCTCAGTCAAATCAAAAAATTTTTTCAAAAATTTTCTTTACCAAAGTTCTTAGAATTAAATGCTCTACAAACCTTGTAAGTTTCATCGAAATCGGTTATCACTTCGGTATGGCGTGGTCGCGTTCATGTGGAATTACACATGTGTAATCTTTCTGATCTGCTTAGCGGGTGTATGTATGCTCAGCATTGGTTTAGCGCAAAATATCGCTGTTGTTTTGATTACTGTCAAGCGACAATTGAAGTATTCAAATGAATACCCAGCAAACGTGGCGCCTTTTTCCGAAGCAGTCGTCAAACAATTATATAATCGAGCTAGTTCCGTTAACAAGCATTCGAATAAATCATTTGAATTTTCTTCGGTCATAGCAGAGGCCGCGGGACTTGATCCTAGGCAAAGCACATCGTCTCTATTAGAAATGAATCGCGAAATGCTGAATTCCACGGTCTTAATCCTATCTGCCAACATGGGATATGCAGACATGACATGGAATTTCTTATGCCGCCTTGCTATGATATCCAAGAGCTTCAGGTATGTCGCTGTTGCTCAAGATCAATCGTTCTTCGACTTCTTGCAGTCACATAGCATTTCATCCGTATCTGGGGGTCTGATACATCCTTCATCATCATATAAAGCCGCGGATTACCGCTCAGCTGAATTTAATGCAATGTCCATTGCTAAAATAATGGCTGTACGAAAAGTGCTTGAATTGGGATACAACGTTATTTTTTCTGATGTGGATATTGCATGGAAGAAAAATCCTGTTCCATTTCTTCCAATTGATGTTGATCTTGTGATACAATCAAATAGTGGATCCAATTTATATCCATTAGCGAGCGAGGCAAATACTGGGTTTTATTTTCTGAAATCGAACAATCGCTCGATGAGGCTTCTCGATGACACTATCGACCGACAACGCAAAGATCGCAGTATAGATGATCAAACACATTTCGGGAATGCCCTTCGAGATTGGCGTGTATCTGGCAAGGCTATGTTTATTATGGAGGGAAAAACTGCTCCTTGGTTCTACGATGATAACCGACCGTTCACATTTAGAATTTTTCACCCCTATCAGTTTCAAACTGGGCAAGTTGCACATGCTTTGTACGCTCGGCAAGTCGAACTGCCATATGATGGCAAAGAGAGGGACATCATTCTAGTGCATGCAAACTATATAGTGAGACATAACTCTAAAGTAGATTTTTTAAAGTTCCATGGATTTTGGAACGTGGATGATGAAAAGTTTAACATAAAGCTCGATGTTTGGAACTCAAAGAAGAAGATGAAAGGAGAACAGGGAAATGAAATTCGAAAGATTACATACAAGTCGGCGCTAGAAAAGCTAGCATATGTATGTATTCCTTCAGTCTCTAGGATTGCACACAAACCTAGTTACGTAATCGTTCACTGAATGGTATGGATACTGGCAAGCCATCATCATGATTTTGTTCCTGCCAATGGACTTATGGGATGACTCCGGCGAGCAGTGGACAATCTTTTCATAGATGATGCAAACGCTTATTTTCAGCGAAAAAATTACGCTCGGGTCAGAAATAGTGATTTTCCATCAAAGTATAACTACACTTACAGAAAAATGAGAATATTGAGAGGAAAAATGTTTAGTAAAAACGGAATAATTCCCTTGACTATAGCGAGGATCATATGCAAAAATGTCCGTTTCTATGTATATGTCTGTTAGGTTCGAGATCCCGGTTGATGTTTATTTGCAAAAGGTGTGAACCTAAGCTTCACCACAAAACAGAAACAAAAAAAAGAAAAGCAAAAACGAAAAATAAACACACACAAATTGCACCGGAACTAATGTTGTTGATCACCACGCACACACTACTACTGTATATGAAAATATATAATTTTATTGAACGACTTTTTGATATAAAATATAATATGTTTTAACAGCAGCGAAAGTATGTAATACACAATGTGTAAAGATAGACTACCGTAAAATGACAGAATTTACTTTTGCAGAAAAACTGCAAAAGTAAATTCTGTATAGACTAACTTTATGTTGGTTGTTACTGACATTGTGCAATTACATATAGCACTATTTAATAGTGACAATATAC